TCATAATTTCTACTCTCACAGCCCTGTCTCACATATGATTAAACACGCATGGACATTAAGTAACAGCTACTAAATTACAAGGTAGGATTTGAACCCAGGCCTATCTGATCCTACACCTTCCGTAGGCCATGCAAATGACCATCCAACCTGGGAAAAAGCTACAAAGAGACCAGCCTTTCCTGCAGATCTATTTCTAGAATCAAAGGTTTAAGATGGACAATCAGCAACTGTGTTTCTTAGCAAGATACTTTCTAAAGACAAAAAGCCCCAAAACTCGAACTTGATGGCTTTGCTATTGGTTATTATGGTAGTGGTGTTACAGTTATGAGGGCTGCTGAGAATCAGTTTCTTAGGTCACAGAAAGATACAAATGTGGACTAGAGGAAGATGATGAAACGCCCTGTGGAATTCCATTTCATGATCTCTATAGGGGAGGCTTCAGAAAGTTCATGGAAAATGACATTTAGTGAGAGACTTTTTCCAACAATTTTTTGAAGGCCCGTAATACATTGACAGGATCCCCAGGGTGCAGTGGGTTACACACTTGGCTGCTAACCAAGGGGTCAGTAGTTCAAACCCACCAGTTATTCCACAGAAGAAGGATGTGGCACTCTGCTTGCGTAACGATTTACAGCCTTGGAAACTATGGTGCAGTTCTTCTCTGTCCTACAGGGTCACTGAGTCAGAAGCAAATATATGGCAGTGGGTTTTTTCCTTTTTTCCTTTTAATTTCTGTAAATACACACATACAGCAAAACCTGTGCAAGCAGAAAGCCCTGTAAGGCAGTAACTTACCAGAGAAGAAAAACTCAAATGATGTAGGAAAGGATTAAGACTACACCCTATCAATGGCAGCAAAATTTTAAGACCTGAAAAAGCAAGGCAATCCCATGAGTTCTGGCTCTCAGATTTCAGTCTCTTCTAGCAATGGCTTTTTAATGGTCTTTGAAATAGTGACCCCCCTAACAATAAGCACATTTAACCATCAGATCTTGGTTTCTAATTACCACCTTCTTCCTCCTTTAATGGAATCAAGTCTTCTTAAAGAAATGGCTGATTACAGGTTTAAGAAAGACATGTAAGGTGAGGGCCTCGGGCATCTTGTGCAAAAGCCCAAGGAAGTACTCAAAGACTGTAAGAGCATTTCTACCTAACAGAGAAGAGAGCCTGAAGAGGTACCCACCGGCCAAATTTGAACATCCAAAAGAACAATTATGGCATTAAGTCATAATGAATTTTTTTTTTCTTTAATCCATCAGGCTCTACAATGACACAAGTGATTGGGGGGAGGGAAGAAGTCTAACGAGAAAGGAAGAAAAAGTAAAATCCTTACAGCGTAATGTCAACCAATAAATGTAGACAGAGCCACAGACAGGAAAAGCACTATTTACAATCCCTAGTGTAATAACAAGTTCCATCGAGAACCATCAGTGGACAGGAGAAAGGTTGTTGGGGAACTGAGTTAGCCTCAAAGTGTCACCCTACCATTACTTACTAATCAAACAGGTACATACGGAAGTATTAGCTGATGAAATTATGATGCCATAATGTTTAGAATTTGCTCCAAAATATTAGAGGTGGAGAAGAGATTAACAAAGAGGCAAGGGAACTGAAGATCCCCTTGCAGAGGGGTCTCAGGGAGGAGACAAGCCAGTCAGGGTGCAATGTAACAACGATGACAAATACAACTTTCCTCTGGTTCCTACATGCTTCCTCCCCGCCCCCACTATCATGATCTGAATTCTACCTTGCAAGTCTGGCTAGACCAGAGGATATACACTGGTACAGATAACAACTGGAAATCTAGGGAATCCAGGGCGGATGATCCCTTCAGGACCAGTGGTGAGAGTGCCGATACTGGGAGGGTAGAGG